AATTGAACACCAATAAAAATAATAATAATAAAGACATTAAAGCAAAAAAGTCCCATCTCTGAGGAGGGATGGTAGAAGTGAAAGGAGGATGGGTGGTTGTTCAGGGAGAGGGTGATGGGGCGGAGAGGTCCTGGGACCAGCTCAACCCAGGGTGGACGGGAAATGACACCCTCTGTGCCCAACCCCACAGAGCAGCCCCCTCCGTGGGCTTGGTCTTCCTGGTGGTGATCGTGCCCCTGGTGCTCCTGGCAGGCCTGGCGTGGTGGCTCTGGAAGTGCTGGTGAGTCTCTGGAACCCCTTTTCTGCGCTTTCCCACATGTCTCCCCACCTTTCAGTGTGTCCTCAGCCCTCCTGCGGCCCGTGCCTTTCCCCCTGCAGCCTCCCCTCCACCTGCTGCAGAGGGCCTCCTCCTTGTTCCTCCCAGGAAAACACACTGGAGACCTCAGTGCACGGACTTCCTTTTGGAGAGAGAGATCTCAGCAACCCAGGCCCCAGGATTTACCTAAACCCAGCTCAGTGGTCATGTCCTGGTAACTCTGCATGTAAATTTCTTTCAATTCCGCTTATTGACCAGTTCTCAATGTAAGCTCAGTGTGATTTAGCGTGGTTTGTTGTTCTAACATGGTTCTGGAACTTAAATCTCAAAATGTAACTCAATGTAAAATGAAGTCCCAGCAACCTCCATGAGTCACAGGCATCAGATGTCACTTCCTCCAGTGAGCCCTCCCTGTTTCACAAGTTGAATCAGTTTACATTATAAGAATTTCCACCACCTTTTTTGAACTTTGGCAGTTCTATTCCTGCCCCTCAGCCCTTATTGCCCCTCATAGGTCTCTTTATCCCTCTAATTTTTATGATTTTGAAGCAAAGTCTATGTCTTTTTATTATTTGTATCCTTAGCAAGGAGTCTCACTTGTGGGGATCCCTGGGTGGCTCAGCGACCTGCCTTCAGCCCAGGGTGTGATCCTGGAGTCCCAGGATCGAGTTCCACATCAGTCTTCCTGCAGGGAGCCTGCTTCTCCTGTCTGTGTCTCTGTCTGTGTCTCTGTCTCTCTCTCTCTCTCTGTGTGTCTCTCATGAATAAATAAATAAAATCTTAAAAAAAATGAAGGAATCTCACCTGCATGAAACATGTCCTTAATAAAAATCTGTGTTGAGGTGTGCCTGGTTGACTCAACTGATTAAGCATCTGACTTCAGCTCAGATTATGATCTTAAGAACCTGGGATCAAGGGCTGTGCCAGGCTCTGTGCTCAGTGAGGAATCTGCTGGATATTCTCTCTCCCTCTCTCTGTCTCTGTCTCTCTCTTTCTGTGCCCCTCATTTGCTTGTGCTTTATCTTTCTCTCAAATAAACTAATAAAATCTTGCAACTCCCCCTCATGTTGAATTCATGTTAATGAAATTCATAGGTTTTCTTTTGCTTTTGCTTCCTGACATGTTTGTAGTAGTGGAAATATTTGGTGATGTTCATGTTATAGATGTTCTCATGTGGCCAAGGTCTTCATGCTTTCCCTGTTCTGGTTGACATCTCCAGGTCTTTTAGTAGAAACAAGCTTTTCTGTGAAGGTTTCTGTTCTACAGGTTTCTGTAACTACAGACACCTACTGGACTGGACCTGTTGCTCCAAGTATCCTGAATTAAAGGAGGAATGCAGGATGCTTGCTATTTGTATGGCTCAGAGATAGCAGCAGAGCTGTCACCCTGGGGATTGCTGGCAATATAGGATTGTGGCCTCAGCTGAGACTCACTCATTGCAGATGAAAGGACTCAAAGTAAAGTGGCTTAGTCACCATAGGAGGGCACATACAGCTCACATTTCAGACACACTTGAAGTGCCAGATTCTGAAAAAGAGGGACCACTGAACTGGAGGTCACTACAGAACCTCCTCTTCAGTAGGGCACTGCTTTAAAAAACAAAAATTTATTCATGAGTAACATACAGAGAGAGGCAGAGACACAGGCAGAGGGAGAATCAGGCTCCCTGCGGAGAGTCCAATGTGGGACTCAATCCCAGGACCCTGGGATCATGACCTGAGTCAAAGGCAGATGCTCAACCACTGAGTCACCCAGGCATCCAGAGGTCACTACTTTCAATAGCAAGAGACATAGCTAACTTTCCTGACACATAGAAACAGAGTTGGACAAAATGAGGAGACAGAGGAATATGTCCTAAATGAAAGAACAGGTCAAATTCACAACAAGAGAGCTAAGTAAAAAGGAGAAAAGTAATACACCTGATAAAAAAATTTAAAGTAATGGTCATAAAGATACTTGCTAGACCTTAGAAAAGAGGAAATGACCTAAGCGAGATCTTCAGCCAAGAGATGGAGAGCATAAAAAGTATCCAATCAGTCCTGAAGAACTCAATAAGTGAAATTAAAAATACATGGATGAAAACAAGGAATAGAGGAACCAGAACAGATCTGTGATCTGAAAAACAGGGTATAAAAAGCAATTAAGTTGAAGAAGGGAGAGGGGAAAAACAAAGTAAAAATAGGCCTAGGAAACTCAGCAACCCGATCAACCATAAAAATATTTGCATTATAGATCACAGAGGGAGAAGAGAGAGAAAGGGGTCAAATAATTATTTGAGAAAATAATAGCTGAAAACTTCACAAAACTGATGAAGGAAACAGAAATCAAGAGTTTAGAGGTATAAAGAGCCTCCAGTAAAATCAACTCAAGGAGTCTACACCACAATGCATGTTAATTCAAATGGCAAAAATTAGTGATAAAGGAGAATTTTAAAACAAGCAAAAGAAGAGAAGAAAGTTGGGCAGCCCCGGTGGTGCAGCGGTTTAGCGCCGCCTGCAGCCTGGGGTGTGATCCTGGAGACCCGGAATCGAGTCCTATGTAGGACTTCCTGTATGGAGCCTGCTTCTCCCTCTGCCTGTGTCTCTGCCCCTCACTCTCTGTATCTATGAATAAATAAAATCTTTAAAAAAAAGGAAATGAGATATCTTACTGTTGTTTCTTTTTAAAAAAAAAAAAAAAGAAAAGAAGAAAGTTACATGCAAAGGAAACCCATAAAAGCATCAACTGATTTTTCATTCGAAACTTTGTAGGCTAGAAGAGAGTGGCATGATATATTCAAAATAGTGAAAGGAAAACAAACAAACAAACAAACAAACAAACAAAAAACAAACCCTGCAGCCAAGAATATCTATCCAGCAAGGCTATCATTTAGAATAGGACAGATACAGAGTTTTCCAGACAAACAAATGTGAAAGGAATTCATGACCACTAACCCAGCCCTGGAAGAAATGTTAAAGGGGAGTCTGAGTGGAAAGGAAAGCAAAGACCAAGGAAAATAAGATGATAACAGTAAAAATATACATAATTATTAATCAAGAGACTCACAAAATAAAAAGATGCAAAGTACGAGAGCATATTTAAAAATTTGGGTCGGGGAGGGAAAGGAGTAAGGAATGGTTTCAAATTTAAGTGACTTTGACTTAATATTGACAGTTCTCTATGGAAGCTGTTATATACAAAGCAAATGATAAACACAAACCCAAAATTAAAAATTAATAATAGATATGAAAAAAAATAAAGAGAAAAGAATCCAAGTATATCACAAAAGAAAGCGAGTTAACCAAGGGAGAATATAGCAAGAAGGCAAAGGAGCAGAGAACCACAAAACCAGTGATAGACGGCAATAAGTCCAGCCCGTCAATAATCACATTGAATGTAAGTGGTCTAGATGCTCCAATCAGAAGATGCAGGGTGATGGGATGGGTAAAAAAAAAGACCCATCTACATGCAAAACCTAGAAAAGATTCATCTCAGACCTAAAGACACATGCAGATAGAAAGTGAACAGATGGAGAAGCATTTATCAAGCAAATAGTTGTGAAACGAAAGCCGGGGCAGCAATACTTGTATTGGACAAAATGGACTTTAAAGAAAGACTTTAGCAAGAGACAAAGAAGGACACTATGAGACGGTTCAGGGCCTGGGTGGCTCAGTGGGTTAGGCGTCTACCTTTGGTTCAGGTCATGATCGCTGAGTCCCAGAATTGAGCCCTGCTCAGCAGGGAGCAGGCTTCTCCCCTCCCCCCACCTTGCTCATGCTCTGTTTCTCTCACGTGTGTAAAGTCCTGTGGTCTCTATGATGCCTATTGGTTCCTCACTAAGAATAATGGAGGACTGGGGGTTGCTGAGACTCTTACACAGGCAATCATGGGGGAATCTGGACAAGCAAACAGAGCGACTGTTAAGAAGAAATCCCAGCCTCAAATGGGTGACAGTGTCTGGTCAGACCAAGTCCCCAAACTTTGCTTATTCCCTAACCAACTGCAGTTCCCACCTCCCCCAGAAATAAAGTCTTCACCATCAGTGAGGGATTCTCTGGTTTGGCCCAGGGAGGTCCTCTGTCACATGTGCTCTCTCCATCCCTTTGGAGGGGAGGTCAATGGCGTGGTTAGACCCCCTGCTCTCCCAGTTAAGGGTAAGGGACCTTCCCTGAAACACTCCTTTCTCTCCATTTGCCAACTTCCTTCCAAAGAAACCCTCCATTTGCACCACTGCTCAGAGCTCCCCTCACCTGCCAGGTGGGAGGCTGCCCCATTCTTGAATCACTTAATAAAACCAGGTGGATATTCAGATTTTCCTGGCTGATTAGTTTTTTACTACAAGCAGTGAGAAGTCAGAGATGTGAAGGAGCTGGGGTGGGGGTTGGGCGGGTAAGGAAATACCTGGGCGGGGGTGTCACAGGGCAGGAGGGACAGAGGGACAGCAGGTGCAGGGCTGGTGCTGGGAGCTGGGTGTTTTCCTGGGTTACTGTCTGGGTGAGAAGAAAGGGCTGAGAGGTGGGGCCACTTTTCCAGGCCACACAGGACTTGTTCTGTATCATCTGAATCAGGGGGCGGGGGCGGGATGGACGCTGGTGACAGGGAGAAGCTGGAGGCCGGAGGGGAGGCAGAGCAGGAGGGGAAGTGAGACTGAGTAGGTGTCCAGGGCTGAGGGAGGAGCACATTTGCATTGTCGCAGAGACTCAGGGAAGGGTTGTGTGTGTGGAGAGGAAGTCAGAGGAGAGGGGCTGGGAGGGGGTCGGTGTGTGAGGACAGACATCAAAGAGAGACTTTGCAAGAGAAAGAACATCTGCAAACAAGATGCTGTTCCTGCAACTTGTGCTGTTGGCGGTTCTCCTCCCTGGGGGTGACAGCGAAGATGAAGATGGTGAGAGCTCGGGTCCTGTCTAATGGCTACAGGACCAGAGAGTGTGAGTGTGTGTGTGTGTGTGTGATTCTGAGTCTGTATACTTGTGTGTATGTGTTTCTTTGTAAGTTCTTTTGTGTTAGTGTGTTTGTGCATATGTCCTGTGCAATTGTCCCTGAGTGTGTGCAGGGGTGGTGTGGGTGTGTGGGTTCCCCAGCACAGACAGACCTGGGCATGGAGAGAGTCAGCCTGCTTCCTTCCTGAGCATCCTCGGCCCCAGGGCCCTGTGCTCTCCTGAAGGATGGGTGCGAGGCTCGGGCTCGGGCTCGGGGGCAGCATGTGTCTCCTGAGACGCCTATGGCTTCTCTGTCCTCCAGATTTTGGGTCCCGTCCCCGGCCCCGTAGTCTCCACTCCCTCTCCTTCCCAATGTCCTCCTCTTCCTCAGCTTATCTGTCCTTTTCCCACAGATTCCCAAGAACCAGTCTCCTTCCGAGTCATTAGAACCTCATCCCTCTACAACCGTTCCTGGACACAAAATCAAGGCTCAGTTTGGCTGGATGACGTGCAGATTCATGCCTGGGACAATAAGAATCGAACTTTCGTTTTCCGGTGGCCTTGGGCCCAGGGAGATTTAAGCAACGAAGAGCGGATGGAAGCAGATCAGTTATTCTATTCAAACTATATTTTTTATAATCTGGTTTACCATGACCATGTCAACCAATGGCAGCTTGAATGTGAGTTCAGGTACCTACGAGAAGGTGGGATGGAGGTGGCAAATGTATGTGTGTCTGTCCTTGGATCCTTCTTCCTCCAGGAAAGAGGCTCCATTGGCTTCTGAACCTCATGTGTCCCCATCACGAAGCTGAATCCCACCAGTGTGGGCAGAGTGTGGAGCCAGACCCCAATTGTTGAAAAGCTTCACATCTTCTGCTCTGTCCCGCTCTTCTCATTGGCCACAGGCTGGGGTCTCCCGTCCCACTAGTTCTCCCATGACCACCCCTTTCCCTGGCCTCCAACCAGGCAGCTCTGGTCCTCGCTCTGTGACTGACTCCTTGATCTGTGTGCTTTTCTCCCCATCCTATCCCAGCAGCGATGTCTGTCTATGCGACCCTGTCACCCCCTGTGCTCCCTTCACCCTCGGTTGTTTCTAGCCCAGCTCTCCCGCCAAGCCCTTCCCTATTTTATGCCCACATCCTTCATGTCTCTCCTCCAACTTTTGTTCCTTCCTCTATCATTTACCTCTTCCTCTGCTTCCAGCGACCACCACTTCCCCTTTGTGTGAGGCTCCCCTCAAGCCAAACTGTGCTCCATTCCATTCAATCCCCTGAACTTCTCCCTCTACTTCCGCCGTCCATGGCTTCCACTCATGTCATTTCATCTCTTTATTTCCCCCCTGTCCTGTAACTCAGTCATTTCTACCCAGATCCCTTTCAGGTACAGATGGAAATAGGCTGTGAGCTGCACATTGGAGAACCTTTCTCAGGATTCATGAGGTATGCTTATCAAGGTGCAGACCTTATACGTTTCCAGAACACGTCATGGAGGCCATCTCCAAAGGGAGGAAGTAGGGCTCAACAGGCCTCCAGCGTATTCAATCAATACCATGAAGACAATGAATTCATACATGAGCTCATCACTGGCTACTGTCCGCGTTACGTCTCGAGTCTTCTTGATGTGGGGAAGGCGGATCTCCAGCGACAAGGTCAGTCCTGTTCCCTCCCTCCAAGCTTTCTGCATCCTGTGCTCAGAAATCTGCACCATGCCCTCAAATTCAGGGTAAGAGAGAGTCAGGAGGGAGAGGGGGTGATGGTGATGGGCTTCAAGAGGCAGAAAGGTGTGTCTGTCTAACGTGATGTGAGCACCTCCCCTCAGTCTGTGAATCCCTGTCCTGTCTCTGCAGTGAGGCCCGAGGCCTGGCTGTCCACTGGCCCCAGCCCTGGGCCTGGCCGTCTGCTGCTGGTGTGCCACATCTCTGGCTTCTACCCCAAGCCTGTGTGGGTGATGTGGATGCGGGGCGAGCAGGAGCAACAGGGCACCCAGAGAGGTGACGTCCTGCCCCATGCTGATGGGACATGGTACCTTCAGGTGTCCTTGGATGTGAAAGCCAAGGAGGCAGCTGGCCTGTCCTGCCGGGTGAGACACAGCAGTCTAGGAGGCCAGGACATTGTCCTCCACTGGGGTGAGGAAGAGCTGGGACCTGGCTGGGCAACATGGTAAATGGTCATCCATCAGAGCTGGGAGCCTGATGAAACTTTTGGGAATCTAGGGACTCTAGAGCAAAAAAAAGACAATATTAGTAACCAAAGAAATGGAAGAGCTGAGGGTGAGAGTCCTGCAGATGTGGGAGGATGCGGAGGGTTAGGTGGAGTGTCCATCTCTGAGGAGGGATGGGAGAAGTGAAAGGAGGAAGGGCGGTCGGTCAGGGAGAGGGTGACAGGGGCAGAGAGGTTGTGGGCGGTGCAGTTCAACCCGGGGTGAACGGGAAATGACACCCTCTGTGCCCAACCCCACAGAGCAGCCCCACTCCGTGGGCTTGGTCTTCCTGGTGGTGATCGTGCCCCTGGTGCTCCTGGCAGGCCTGGCGTGGTGGCTCTGGAAGCGCTGGTGAGTCTGTGGAGCCCCCTTCCTGCTCTTTCCCACGTGTCTCCCCACCTTTCCGTGTGTCATCAGCCCTCCTGCCGCCCATGCCCTTCCCCCCTGCAGCCTCCCCTCCACCTGCTGCAGGGGGCCTCCTCCTTGTTCCTCCAGGAAAGCCCACTGGAGACCTCAGTGCATGGACTTCCCTTTGGAGCAGGATCTCAGCCGCCCAGGCTCCAGCACTTACCTAAACCCAGCTCAGCACTGACGTCCTGGCACTCCCTGTGGCCAACTCTTCCTTAGTCCTCCCTATGGACCGGTTCTCAGTGTCAGCTCAGCGTGATTTAATGGAATTTCCTGTTCTGATTGGTTCAGTATCTTAAGTCTGAAAATTTAACTCATTGTAAATGATGTCCCAACACCCTCTATCCATTACAGGCATCGTATGTCCCTCCCTCCAGTGGGTCCTCCCTCAGTCAGAAGTGGAGGCAGTCTACATGGTGATAATTTCCACCACTTTAACCTGCATTTTGATAATTCTATTCCTGACCCCCAGGCCTTGCTGCCCCCATTGTGTCCCTTCCCTTCTAATTATTGGATGTTTGACAGCAAAGTCCATGTCTTTTTAGTATTTGTATTCTTGGCAAAGAGAGTCCCTTGTATGGAATATGTCCCCAATAAAATTATGTGTTGAATTTGTTCTAAATTCATAGTTTTTTTTTCTTTTTCTTTTGCTTCCTGACATGGTTGTAGTAGTGGAAATGTTTCATGCCTTTTTTTGTTAATCGTCTTGTCACCTGGCCAAGGGAGTTCATACTTTCTCTGTACCCATTGACTTCTCCAGGGCCTTAGGCTGAAACAAGTTTGCCTGGGAGGGTGTCTATTATTTAACCACAGACACACATTGGATTGGACCCATTGCTCCAAGTATTCTGAATTAAAACTGGAAGGCAGGATGCTTGCTGTGGGGGGGGTGCTCAGGGGCAGCAGCAGAGATGTCACCTATAGGGTCTTGGGCTCAGGTGAGACTCACTGGACCACAGTTTCTGCTTTTGCAAAATCAGCAGAGGATTCCCAGGGACCTAAATGTGATGCCTGAGACGGAGCAGGGCAAGTATGTCCCTGGGGAAAAGGGGTTGCTCCAGGAAAGAGAGCCGGAGCATTGTGGTCAGGGATGAATGGGGACCCAGCAAGGAGCGTGCACACAGTGCCTCCTGGCATTCCCGGCTGCGGAGTTGCAGTCCCGAAGACAGAAACGGAGTGACAGTGAGCCATTGCTCTGGGGGGAAATGAGGGGTTGGGTTCCTGGATCCTCTGTCCACAGCACCTGTGGTCTGATGACCACACAGCCTGGGTAGTCATGGACTATTTCCTGTAGTCACCTATTTCTGTTTCAGGCCAGCTTCTCTAATACGTGTATATATTTGTAAATAGTTAATTGTATGGAGTATTTCCCTGTACTGAATAACCAGCTCAGAAGTGTGTCACATTTCCAAGTTGGGGTACTGTGAGTACCGTGATCTTTGGCTTCAGACCCACAGCTGTACTCTCCACAACGGTTTTAGACACAAACAAACAAGAAGTAGTCATGGTCCCATGAATATAGCTCTTCCCCCCCTTTGTTGTGGCATCATCACAGCATCATAGTGGTTACTTTAGCCTTTCAGGATGGATCCACATAGACTTCAAGTATGTCCTGTTCCTCTTCCTGGATTTACTGCATTGTTGACTCTCGTCCCACAACTCTGCATCAGGAATCTGAGCGAGCTTTACATACTCAAGTATTTTGTCATGAGACACATCCCATCTTCTGCTTGGGAACACCAGTCAGCCCTGTAGCTCTGGGCTGTTTTAAGCACTGATATCACCTAGAAAGAGCACATAAATGCAGAAAATTGGCACCCAAGGGACCATGATCAAGACCCATGTTTACAGTGTGGGAATTAACAGGGGAATCAGAGCGGCACCTGAGGTGGGTGACACGTCAGGCCACTCTTTGTGTCCATGAGGAGTGGTGGGTTCATGTGTCTGGGGCTGCAAATCGATGTCCCCAGGTAGGTCCATCAGCACAGAGTCCACGAATAATGAAATGGATGCTTTGTGACCCATGACCCTCATGGCGGTGCAAGTAGAGACATCCATGGCTACACTTCAGTATCTCTAGATTTCATTAATTAACTCAACAAAACTTTCTCAATTCCTGTCCATGCAGTAGGAATCTTTGAGTGTCAAGTAGTGGACAGGAAAGGTCATCATTGTTTTAGGAGCTTGAATATTTGCTTTCCTGATTTGATCCTGGTTTTCATTTTTGTTCCTCACAAGTTTGTTACCGCAGCAACTTATGCGGGTTGAGCTAGGGGAAAGGGACTTAGTTCTAGTTTGTTTAGGGGCTGAGGGATGGTGACCCAAGGTCAGAGAATGTCCAGAGGGACCATGTGCCTGCTCCCAGCCCTACAAATGTGGGCTTTTCTGGAAAATAACGCACAAAGGAGAGGTGGGAAAGATGAAAATCTGGGAATTGGGAGAGAAAATCATGGGGCTTTTGGAATCTTTTCCATGGATCACATGCTTGGCTGTGGGACCCTGGGTGGCTTAGAGATTGAGTGTCTGCTTTTGGCTCAGGGCATGATCTTGGAGTCCTGGGATCGAGTCCCACATCGGGCTCCCAGGGGGGAGCCTGCTTCTCTGCCTTCCTGTGTCTCTGCCTCTCTCTGTGTCTCATGAATAAATAAATAAATAATTTTTAAAAAGAATGCTTGGCTGTTTCTCTAACTTGCAATCTACCTCGTCTCCCTTGTATGGCCACCATGTGGATTTTGCTTGGTTGACTCCACCCTCATGGGTATCCCTGGGCTCTGATCACCTAGAGGCCATCAGGGGAAAGCATCCTTGACAATGAGACAGGCTGGAGGATGGACAGGTAACCTCCAGGTCAGGCCAATCACCAGATAGATGCCCTTGTATCACACAGAGTGATGATTCAGGGCCAGGCACCCGCTCCAGGTGGCGCACCTGCTGCAGGAGCCTGATTGCTGTGGTCAATGGAGGGGAAAGAGATGCTCTCTCTTGGCCTGGATGATAAGGTCAGGGTATGAAGCCTGAAACAAGTACAATCCATTTTTCAGCACCAGAGAAGCAAGCCCGAGGATGAAGCCTGCCTGCAAGAAGGCAGAGAAATTATACACATGACATTTGCCCAGAGGTTAGACCCCGAGTGTTCTTACTGGAAGAAAGAAAAAGAAAAGAAAAGAAATAGAAAGAAGAGGGTTAAGATGTAAAGGGTGGCCAAGGTAACTGGGTTGGTTATACCTCAATTGGTTACTTCATTTTATCTTTTTATTTTTTTATTTTTTAATTTTTTTTCATTTTATGTTTTTAAAAAGAAAGTAGTTATTGCCCAGAAAAAAAAAGTATTCAAAGATGTGATAATGCTACATTAAACATTAAGTTTTTGTGATTTGCTTCAGTGGAGGTTTTCTGGACCAATCCTGCATTTTCCTTCTGAAATGCTGCATGCCTCATGGGAGGCAGGGCAGGTACGGACGTGAGCATGCGGGTGCGGCTCCCTGGATGCTCCGTGTGCACCAGGCTCCCGGGATCTTCAGGCCGGCCTCTCTGAGAAGTCGTTGGAAGACTTTCTCAGGAGGACCTTCGTTCATGTGGTGTCACAGGCTCTGCTGCACCTGTTAGAGCCGGCGAGGGCCCCCATGGCCCGAGGTGGCCCCCACCTTCCTCCCTGGGCGGCTGGAAAGCTACACGCTGTCCACAGGCACAGTTTTCAGGTGTCATCATCCTCCAGTGAGTCTGAAAACAGCAGCAAACCAAACCAAAGCATCAGAAAAGCAAAGGCAGACAGACCCGCAGAAAGTGTTGGAACTCCCACGACCCTGGGCTCCCCAGTTCCATCAGCCAATGTTTCTTGAAAATATTTCTTTCTTCTTCTTTTTTTACATTTTTTAATAATAAATTTATTTTTTATTTGTGTTCAATTTGCCAACATACAGAATAACATCCAGTGCTCATCCCGTCAAGTTGAAGATATTTCTTAATCTTTTTTTTTGCCTGTTTGTTTTTTTCTTCATGTGACCTTGTCTTGTGACACTCTTACCTGTCTTGCGTATTATCCTGACATCTGGATAAATCCATGTTCTGGGTGTTTTCATGGATTTCTAACAGACTACCGGTCGGGAATCAAGGTGCAGGGTCTGCTGCGGGTTACATGATCCGTGAATACTTATACTCTAGGGTTTCCTATAGACGAAGGGGCAAGCCGGACCACCATGAAATAAGCCGGGAAGTGTCATGGCTTGGCAGTTAAACACTCAACATGCAAAGAGTTTTCATAGATTTCCTTCAGATCCAATGCATCAGTTCATTTATTTGTTACTCAGCTTTTACTATTTATGTGGTAAACATATTCTTCCAGAGAAGTTCCACCATTTACGGGAAGCAGCTCTGTGTGCAGATATTTCAGATATAAAGAGCAGCGTCTGGGTGGCTCAGTTGGTTCAGCATCTGACTCTTGATTTTGGCTCTGGTCAAGATCTCAGGGTCTCAGATCAGGAAACATATTGGGTTCCCAGCTCAGCGGAGAGTCTGTTTGTGATTCTCTTTCTCCCTCTGCCCCTCCCTTGGCATTTGCTTTCTCTCTCTCTCAAATAAATAAATAAATAAATAAATAAATAAATCTTTTTAAAAATAAAGATATAAAAATAATCTCTTCCTCCAAGCTTTCTCTTTTTTTCCCCCCAATGTCTACATGTAATCACCCAAAGTCAAACTTCAGAACTGTTAAATATGCAAATTCAACTATGTCTATATGAAGATCTAATTGACTTTATTAAATGCTGCATGAATCGGGCAGTCCTCCATCTGGCATGCGGGTGGGCACTCAGAGGAGCTGTGAAAAATCGAAAATTTTTGTAGAAAGGTGGGGGTGGCCAGGGAATTAATAGTACAACAGCTTTGGTCCAGGATTCAGGCTTGTTTTCTTGGGGAAAAGCAAGAAGTCTTATCATGCATATGACCTCATCTGCCCGTGGGGGTGGAGAGGACCCAGGTGACAGACTGAACAGTTCTGCTGGAAAGAAAAATTTCCTGCCTGACTGGTTAAGGCCACATTTCTGGGGGAGGTCGAAACTGTAATTCGATTGGGTTTGAAATCCCAGTGTGGGAACTTGGCCTTGTGTCGCCATTTTGGGTCTCTGATTTTCTTTTTTGTAACAATTAGCCTCTCACCTTACCTGAGATGTGATCTAATTTTCATGCATTAAGTACTACTCTCAGCTCCTGCTTGCAGCTCAGTTTTGGCTGCTGCTTATGTAGTAGCTGTAGGTCATGACGTTTTCATTTAGCCTCTGTGATAACAGAGCATGGTTTTGGGTTCATGTTCTTTAGGTTGTTATTTTCCTCATTGCTAGATGTTCCAGGCTAAGGGAGGTCAGTTGCCTGGTGGTTAGCAGCTGTGAACACACATTGAAGCTTTGGAGAGAATACAATGCACCGGAGAGTTGAAGATTGCTACAAGAATTATAAATCGCAACATTTGGAGTTTACTTTTAGTCCTGGTCCCCAAGACCTAAACCAATAAAAATCAGATAAGTCAAAAGAAAGATCCCGAGGAAAGTGTCACCCTTCTAAAGCCACTGGCTTGTTCTTAAGCAACTGAGC